GGGCTTTAGAAGATATGCCTTTATGGATACTGTTTTTTAATTGTGCTGAATTCCATTATTTTAATGAACAGTTAACTTCTCTCACATTTTAATTTAAACCTCTGCCACTTCCTGTTCATTCCCTACAGTCAGTTAGGGCACCAGATTCTACCAGGTGAGACTGGGTCATAGCTCTATGAGAACATAGCTAAAACATTGCATAGACTTTTGGAGTTAAGGCTGAGCTGCCAGGCTGACATTCCAAACTTCAATGGCAGATAATTAAACAGCCACATCCCAGCCTACCGCATAAACTGCACATTCCTTGTTTGGCACCAAACTTCCCTTTGTTTAATGAGTTTCAGTTATTTTTATTTAAAAATAACCAAGCAGATTCCTGTTTTTTCTAAAACCTAGGCTAAATTAACAGACTCTTGTTCCTGTGTCCAAGAATGTGCCATAGAAGGGAATTCTCTACAGTAATTTTTACTTTACAAAATGATTTCCAGCATGGCATTTAAATAACTTAGCTTTGAACACATGAGAATAGAAGATTCTTTGTCTCAACAACTGGGAGATTTCGTGAGCTTGATCATTTAAAACTAGCAAAAATAAAATAACTGTTCGCTGAACAAAGCAACAAAAATAATACCACAATGAGATCAAAGACCCTGGCGGGGGGAGTATTTGTGGTGGTGGTGGAGGGAGATGCTGATGGAAAGAAGGGTATTGGTGAAATTATTAAGGCCACTCCACGTAGTTAAAGGGAGATTTATTTAATGGCATAACTTACAAATGAAGGGATAGGTAGGTCGAGGAGTCTGGGGAAGGTGTATCACAGTCCAGCGGTGTTCTCTGGAGCTCTGCTCGGTCCACCTCCACTATCCAGGGTCCCTGAACAGAGAGAGCACCCGCCGATCCAGATCTCGGGTCCCCAGGCGCCTCCCTTGGCCCCGCCTTGTAGGCGTGACAGTTGCCGAAGTCTCAATGGGGGTTGGAACTTCCAGATCAAAGCTGGAATGGCTACCCACTACATCGGGGAACTAGGGACTCCTCACAGGTCTTGGGCACCATCTTTCTTAACTTTTCTTCCCAACTCTAGGTACTAGGGTCCTACAGAAGAGCCTTGTTATAAGAAGATCGGAGAAAGGTCACTTCATTGGTAGTTTTCTGAGACCACCTTTCTCTCTCTCGCTCACCAGCACAGTCTCTCTTTGACACACAGAATTCTGACTATCTGACTCCAATGCACTTATTACAGACCACATCAGGTCCGCTCTGTGTGTGTGTGTGTGTGTGTCATAGGAACATAGCAGGAATCATTTGTGTCTATAGCTCTACAAACTTTCAGAATGGCCATCATAAATGTGTGTACATGTTGAAGCACCAGTAGAAACCTGGCTGGACAGCTGATAGGCCAAAGTTAGAAATAGCTTTCTTAGAAATTCACTGGGGCAGTAAATTTGCATCCTAAAGTTTACAGATGTTGTCAGAGGGAATCCAAAGCCCCCGGGATATGCAATGGTAGTCCTAACAGTCCTGGTTCAGTCTGCTATCCCCTTCCTGGCATGTTAGGAGAGTTCTATCTATGGAAGGCGTGGCTGGGAAGTAACATTCACATAAAATTCTTGTATAAAAATCAGTCTTATGAGTTCATATCAATGTTGCTGTGGCCAGGATAAACATGACCGCCAAAAAATATCTAAAGATGATGCTATTTGTCTAGTTCAGTCAGCACAAGTCATTGCTGAGGTTCTTTCACTACCACCACCGATATTTCCAGTAACTTTAAGAAATCCTATGGCTTTTGTTGTTACAGCATATTGGATCATTGTGAGGGTCTGACTTACTGTGCACATCTAGATATCTGTGAGTGTGCCTGACTCTGTACTCAACATTCTTTTCTTCTTGTTTCTCCTTCTCTACATTAGTATTTCTGTGTCTTCTTTGATTTTGTTAGTTTTGAGAAATTGCATTAGTGAAGAGAGTTTTTCTTTCTTTCTGAAGATTTACTCTTATTTTTTAATGTGTATTTGTGTGTATGATTGTTTGTCTGCATGTCTGTACATGCATCACATGCGTGTGGTGCTGACCGAGGTCAGAGAGAGGGCATTGGGTCCCCGGAGCTCGAGTTGTAGATAAACAGTTGTGAGATGACATTTGGGTGATGGAGACAGAACCTGGGTTCTCTGCAAGAGCACTGAGTGCTATAAGTCTTCTCCTCAGCCCCATCTTTTAAAAATGGTACCAGCACTGTAGAGAACTGCTCAGTCATTGGGACATCTTGAAGCATTCTCATGGATTTCCAGAGGCTCCACAGTTAGCTAAGAACCACTGCTTGGCTGTGGGGTCTCTGACTCCAAGTGACATTTCAGGCAAATTTCATTTTCAACACTTTTATGTTCAGTTCCATTGAGGTTGTGGCTCAGAAAATTACCAAAAATCTAGCAGACAGATTGGGGTTTTTGAGGTGTGTTGTTGTTGTTGCTGCTGCTTCTGCTGCTGCTGTTGTTGTTATATGACTTGTTGGTTTTGAGTTAGACTCTCAAATTGTAAACCAAGCTGATGTCAACTTTGCCATGGTTCCCTGCCTCCGTCTCCCAATGCTATGACGCAAGTGTGTGCCACTAATTGGACCAAACATAAAACTTTTCTCCTTTCTTTCTTATTTTCTTATGAAAACCTACCTAATCCTTAGCCTTTTGAAAGATTAAAAGCCAAATGTGGCTGGTCATGTAATGCTATGGTAGAGTATTTGCCTGCCATACAGAAGACCCTGGTTTCCACCTACTAACACTGGAAAACCAAAGGGAAACACGAAATCAAACAAAAATCTATCTATTGACTGATTCCAATTGCTGGTAAACCACTCATCAGACAACACTTATTTCCCTCCTTCAGAAACAATTATAACAAAGTAATCAAGGTACAAAAAAATCCCAAGCAAAGACAAAGATAATGGACAGTAAGAGCAGTTAAATTGAACTTTTCAACTACTGCAAGTTTTTCTAAATTTAGGTGTGTGTGTGTGTGTGTGTGTGTGTGTGTGTGTGTGTGTGTGTGTGCTGTGTGTTTGTGTGAATGTATATGTTGTGTGCTATGTATGTGCATGTGTAGTGTATTGGGGATGTGGTGTGTGTGTGTGTGTTTGTGTGTGTATGTGTGTGTTATGCAGTGTGTGTACAGGTACTGTATGTAAGAGACTGTGCATGTACATGCACTTATGGGGGTCAGATGGGGATGTTGTGTATATGTATGTATAGGACGTGTGTAAGTTATGAGGTGTGTGTGGTGGTGGTTATGGTGGTGGTGGTGGTGGTGGTGGTGGTGGTGGTGGTGGTGGTGGTGGTGTGTGTGTATGTATGTATGAGTGTGAGTGTGTAGTTACTGCATGCGAGTAACTACATGCACAGGTAGAGGCCAGAGGAAGATGTTGAATGCCCTCCTCCTCTACTTTCTTTGCTGGTCCATCTCCATGCCCCATGCACAGTATTTTACATGAGTTCTGGGAATTTAAACTTGGGTCCTCATATTTTCACAGCAAATCCTCTTACCTACTGAACCCTAGCAAAATTTTCCTACATCTAATATTTAAGGAGAAGTGGAGCTGTAGGGGGATCAGGGAAAACACTCTCCTGCAGATTAAGTTCCTAGGATCCCAAAGGCCTACCTACCTGCACATCTTTAATTAGAAAACTTTCCCACATTATCTTTTTCCTGTGGTCAAGATACTTCATTTTATCACAGAGTTTCACATCCACTGACCAATATGTGAACTGAGAAGAGTATAATATCTTTTATTCTTTTTCTTTCTGAGGTCTGGCTAGATAGCTCAGACTAACTTTGAACTCACAATCCTCTTGTCTTAGCTTCCCTAGTATTGAGGCTACAAGCATGTGCCACCACACCTGGGTCCACTGCTGGAATTTCTATGTATTCCAGGATTCCAGTGAGTAAACCACCAACAAGATGGACAGAGTAGAATCTCTGAGACATAGAGTCCACCGAGGTGACTTTAGGTATAGACAAAAAGACAGGGATGTAGGGTTCACCAAAGTAAGTCTAGGTTTACAGAGTAGCTCCACTCGGTTTGGATTGTAACTCAAGGACATTCTAGATACTGTATTTACTTCCCTTCTTAAGCTGCTGCTCATGCTATATTGCTAGCATATTTTCTGCTGTGAAGGCAGTCCTGTGTGGTAGTTTATCATAGAAAAGAAGGGACTCCCCGCAACAAGGTCAGCAATACATAGCTTCATATATGATACATAAGTGGAGAGACAGCTGATTTGGTGGAAAGTGGGGGTAAATCAAATAGGGGGGACTATTTGGTTTCTTATTGAATTAAAGATCAGTTAGACTCATCAGGTAGCCTGGGGATTCAAACTTGGGTCCTCATGTTTTCATAGCAAATCTTTGAGGACAAAACATATCAGCTTCAGAACCTATTATTTACTTTCCAAGAGAGCTACATTTCAGCATTTATCATATTTTTTTACAGATATTTATTAGACACTCACATTTTCTTTTTGGCCTAAAACAAGTAACACTGTGTGCATAAATCTATATAATCTATATCAGATAATTTACAAAACATCAACATTTACTGATACTTAATGCCTTTACATGATTCTTGAAAATGTGACCAAGTTAAATATTTCCAAGTTTGAATTAACGCTCCATTCCTAGGAAGTGATTACGAGACTTAGTCCATTTTTTTTTTTTTAGAGTTAACCTGTCAATTACGAATTAAAAGTACAAAACACATATACAAAAGAAAGGGGCAAAATATTATTTACACAAAAATCTGCTACACTTTCTTTTCCTTACCTGAAAATCGTTGGGTCGTTGGGGTTTCCTATTGAATTTGACAGTGTGAGATGAGTTGTGTCTTTTTACAGAGATATGCAGTCTTCAGTGTTTTTTTTACAGCCTCGGCTACTACAGAAATGATACTTCTTGGATGTCTTGTCTTGAAGGGCGGGCAAAATAAAACAACTGAAAACACTACAAGGAATGGTAAGTGATGAAGGGCTTACAGTACAAAAAAGAGTGTGAAAAGGAAGACGAGTTTAAATATCGTTGTGTAAGAAAGTGAAGAAAATAATACAAGGATGAGAATGAGTAAAATGATGGGCTGGAACATCTGGGAAGGCAAATGGGGAGACAGGGAGAAGAGCTAATTAGTGGTCGTCTTAAAGCTTATATTCATATCAACTTATCGAAGCACCGACTCAACCTAAAATAATAATAATATCTCTCCCCAGTGAGGCCCATATTTGCAAATTCTTAAAATATTTTATTATCGACAGCATTTTTCTCTCGCTCTGATAAATACATAAATGACTCTTCCCCCCAAGAGTATAGCTGAAACACACCACATGCTTGGTATTCGAAAACCTGCAAAATGAAAACCAGAAACTAGTACCAAACCATACCAAATAGGAAAGAGTAACATTTAACCTTGTGAAAGTCATTGAGTTCCATCAGAATCCACCACCACCACCACCACCACCACCCCCCACCCCCCACCCCCACCCCGCCACGGCCCCACAGCAAAGCATGGCAACATGCAAGGTAAGCGATGGGGCTGCAAGTTCTCTAGCCGAGATCAACAGGCAAGTAATCTGATGTCATGCTTCTGCGCATAAACTGGGTTTTAAAGATCGGTGTCTCCAGTGTGTTCAAAGCCATGCATGCTGTTGTACTTCGGTGGGTTCTCCAATGGATACAGGACATCGGGCTGCTGCGAGGGACGGTACTGCCTGCTTGGTTCCATAAAGATCTTTTATGTGGTTAACGTGGGCAAAATGCAGTGATCTTTCAGTGGCCACCATACCTGGCCAAAGCTGCTGAGTCCCATTCATCCGGTATGCCTCTACAAGTCAGGAGGGAAATGCTGCTTTCCCCTGTGCTGGAATACTTATTATTATTTCTTTGAATTAGTATCGCCTTAAAGCTATGCTACAAACTTCTCACTCTGGATCTCCACTATTGAACTGATGGTGTTCTAACCAGAAATAACCACTGTGTTACCTCAATTTATCTAAAGGGGCAGCTTGTATGTGTCTCACCCATAGGGCTCTGGGCACAAGATCATGTCTCCTTACTACCAGTTTGAACATTCATCAGAAGGATTGGTTAATCTTGTTTAATTAGGAAGAAAAAACATTTTTTAAGACAGGGTCTCACTATGCAGCCCTGGGGGCCTATAATCACAGAGACCCATCTGCTTCTACTTCTCCCGAGTCCTGGGAATTAAGGTGTGCATCACTTCCCCAGGTTTATTTGGTTATTTTTATCATCTTAAAACTCAATTTGAACCTTGCTCACAAACCTCAAACACTTGAGGGTTCCCATTGAGGACTTTCATGCCAGCCAATCTGTTAGGGAAATACTGAAAAAAAAAAAAATGTTGACCTTTTAAAAATGATATTGTGCATTTAAAAATCCATCAGTCATTCCACAAAACCTGACTGTGTCAGTGTTGAATTTCCCCTTCTGCAGAACAGGAAGGAATAATTGTTAATGACCTATATCGGGTTTCGGGAACCTCTGCCTGGTGGAACACAGCGTGAAAACACAAGCGCCTTCGGGGCTTTTAAGCCCGGCAAGGCTATGAGGTGGAGCTTCCCTAAGGTAGGATGTGGAAGTCGGGGTCGGAGACGCCCCACGAGGGACCGCAGCTCCATGGGCCAGCCTCGCCATCGCCATGGCTCGCAAAAGGCAGAACTGTACCTGACTCACGGATATGGGCTCCTCGGCGCCGCGATCATCCGCAGACTTGGGCACCTCCAGGCGGTCGATGAAGGTCTGCAGCTCCTTGCGGAAGGCCTTCATCTGCGCGTTGATGCGGTAGAGCAGCTCGTGCTCCCGGATGCGGCTGCCGTCGTCCTCCTCGTCCATCAGTCCGAACAGGTCCCCGTTGGCCACGTAGATGCGCGCCTCGGTGATGATGGTGCTCGTGTCCGCGATGAGGCGATCGATGGTCTTTCCCAGGCGCTCGGCCTCGGAGCGGATGTCCTTCATCTGCTGTCGATCGGAGAAGCTCTTGGGCCAGGGTCCCGGTGCCGGGTAGAAGGAGCGGGTGGGCGTGAGGGTGCGGATGTTCCGCACCTCCTCCGAGTCGCTCTCGCCGCCAATCGGCCCTTCGCGCTTGCGATGGGGAGGCCGGGAGTCATCGTCGCTCTCCTTCTTGCCCGCGTCGCTCTCGGCGTCGCTGTCGCGGGGGCTGCCGCGGATCCCCAGGTGTGAGGCCAGGTCGTAGCGCTGCATGTTGGACATGAGCACGCGGTTCTCGTACTGCAGCTGCATGACCTTGCCGCTCAGCTCGTTGATCTGCAGGCGCGCCGCCTTCAGCTCCTCCTGCAGGGCCTCGGTCTTGGCGCTGTCGTGGTGCCTCGAGCTGTCGTGGCCGCTGGACTTGTACTTGTATTTGTTGAGCTCCGCGGTGATGCGTTTGTTCTGCTCCTCCAGGTCGGCCACGTTCCTCCGCAGCAGTTCGGTCTCGTCCTCCACCAGCTGCAGGTGCTGCCGCAGCTCAGACAAGGACTCGCTCTGCTCCCTCATGAGGGGGTTGGCCGAACCATTGAAGTCATCGCCCCGCAGGTCGTCCAGTTCCGCCTTCAGGCCTCGGTTCTCCACCTCGAGTTCCACTATTTTCCTGCCCAGGATGTTGGCCTCTTCCTCCACCAGCCGCAGCCGAAGCTTGAGCTCGGCCTCCCTGGTGCTAGGAGGTCCCCCAGCTTCTCCTTTGGGTAGAGGGCTGTCCAGATCCCCATAGAAGGATCTGTACTTCTGGAGTTCATGCTCAAATCTGTCCTTTTCTTTATCAATTTTGGCCATTTTCTTTCTCATCAGGGCAGCTTCTTCCTTAACGAACTGCAGCTGGCACTTCAAATCCTCATTGTCCTCCTCATTGGGGGAAAGTGGGGGGAAAGGACAGGAGGTCATTTCTATGCAAATAGAGAAAACAACCGAGAAAGGACATCTGCAAAAATAAAAATTCTTTTCCTTGTAATTACTACCTAATGTCACAAAGAGAGCTGTGTGTTTTCTCCACATCACTTACATTCTTTGACCAACTGAAAATTAAGGTAGTGTGTGTGTTCTGGAAAGAAAAGAGGATAGGAAAAGGGGGAAATTTGGTCACCACTATTCAGGGATCATTATATGTGCCTACTGCTGTCAGCCATTTCATGGTTCTCTCGCCAATGTTCTTTTTTTATTTTGGACTCCTCCAAACTGCCCTAAATATAAACCCTGTTGGCCCCAAGGAACATGTAGTCACTTTGCACTCACTCACTGCCATTTATTGAGCATGAGTGTGAACCAGATGCTCTTCAGCTCTTTGCCAAAAGAAAACATTACTTGATTTAAAAGTCAGAATGAATGTATAATTAGGAATCAACTATACATTCCTTGTTTATACACTCCCTGGGCGAAAGGTGTTGGGTGACTTATTCAAGGCTACACAGTGGGAGAGAAGAAGAGTGATATATGACTTCACTTCTCTCTGAAGCTATGACTCCTGAGCCTTGTGAGGGAACCATCTTCCATCCACCATTATTTGAAGGACAGTTGTTTCAAAGTCCATAAAGAACGGAAAGCCTCACACTAGAATGATCCATGCAAGGTGAAACTGGCAGGCACTCTGCATGGTTTCTGAAATAAGATGCACTGCCATCTGCTCAAATGGATAGAGTTGACTCTGCCTGTTGAAAAAACAATGGAGTAGATAGACCTGGTGAAGATCCTCTCACACATTCATACTTAGGCCTTGGAAGCCTAATCATCAACTAAATTGAAGTGCTAACAAAGAAATAGAAATCTCTTTTAAGAGCTTTTGTACAAGTTCTTATTATGTCTGAAGCGGTTTGAAGAATGGGCCCATAGGCTCACAAGTCTGAATCCTTGGTCACCAAGGGTAGAACTATTTGGGAAGGATTAAGAGGTAGAGCCTTCTTAGAACAGCTGTGTCACCAAGAGCTTTGGGGTTTCAAAAGTCTCAGGGCATTGCCAGTGTACTCTCTCTGTCTTCTGTTTGTGGATCAAGAAAGATGTGAGCTCACAGCTGTTTCTGATGTCATGCCTTTGCCCCGCCATTATAATCTCTAGCCTTCTAAAACTGAAAGCTCAATTAAATGCTTTCTTGTATAAGTTGCCTTGGTCATGACTTATCACAGCAATAAAATGGTAACTAATACAATGTTCAAGAATATTTTCCCAAAGATCATTTCTCAAAATTCACTTTGGTTTCCTTATTTAAATGAACAGAGATGTAGATAGGCAGGTGATTGGTTGATAGATAGATAGATAGATAGATAGATAGATAGATAGATAGATAGATAGACAGATAGATAGATGATAGTTTTTGCAGCATAAGCTGGAACTCAGGGCTTGGCAATGCTATGCAAGCATTCTGCCAACAAGCAACATCCCTTATCCTTCTTTTAAAAATTGAAATAAGCATCCCTTCTTTACTCGGCCTTCTGGGTCACTGAAGTTTGAGATGCAGTCTGATAAAGAACTAGAGAGTATGGGCTTCTGCTAGAGAGGTTCTGGAAACAATGATGAAAAGGTACAGAGCTTTTGCCCTATTAACTACTAATGAGAGAACGAAGGATTGCGGAGCTGCTAAGTGGTGCAGAGGCTGAACACCACACTCCTTCTACCTTTATGGCCTCACTCCAGCCATCAGAGCAGCTGGAACTTTACCTCTTTACAGATGAGAAGGCTTATCACAGCAGAGCACAGGTTAGTAGTTGACAGACAGAGCAGAATCTATATTCATGCTGATCGCAGCAGTGTTATCATTTGAGCTGTTTCTAGAACAGAAGCTCAAATAAGGAAACTAGGGCAGTGGGATAAAGTTGAAGAACTAGGATGTGCTGCCCTCTGTTTTCCTTGAGAAGCCATGGATGAGCACAGTGAGCCAAGGTGAAACAGCTTCCCGTAATGCACAGGGAGGGAAAGTTGAAGAACTAGGACGTGCTGCTCTCTGTTTTCCCTGAGAAGCCATGGATGAGCACAGTGAGCCAAGGTGAAACAGCTTCCCGTAATGCACAGAGTGGAGGCTAAAAGGATACATCACAGAAAGCTTCCATGCAAGAGTCCATTCCAGAAGAAGAGAGAGAAGCAGCCTTGCAGGAGGCTCTTGAGATCAAGGACACCTTACAGTGTTTAAGACCACAGCAGTCAAAGATGAAAAAATAACCCTGAAGTTCTGAACTTTAGGGTCTTGGTAGATACTACTGATGACGTCAGGAACAGAAAGAACAAAGAGAAACAAATTCCTGGTGATGAATGTGGATTTCGGTATTTATAATGCTGTCTTTATGGGACAATGTTGAATGGAGACTATATAAACATCTACCAGTAGGCATGTGGAATCTCAGGGCTGAGATCATGAAAATTTATGCTCTGAAACCTAGAGAAATCTTGTATTTGACCGAAGGATGTCAGAACAAGATGACTTGATGTGATGACTATTGCAACAGTCATGAAGGCACCAAACAAGAGAAGAAAAGAAAGGCACAAGGGTAAGAAATGCTCAAAGATTTGGCAGGTCGTGTAGTAGTGTGGGATATTTGTACACTGTGTGAAGATGTATTGCTGTGATTGGTGTAATAAAGAGCTGAACGGTCAATAGTTAGGCAGGAGGTACAGGTAGGACTTCCAGGGACAGAGAGGACTCTGGGAAGAAGAAAGGCAGAGGCACCAGGAGACACAGAGCAAGCAGGACATGCAAGAGGAGAGGTAACATCCATGAGCCATGTGGCAGAATGTAGATTAATAGAAATGGGTTAATTTACATTATAAGAGCTAATTAGGAACCAGCCTAAGCTATAGGCTGAGCTTTCATAATTAATAAGGAGTCTCAACGTCATTACTTGGGAGCTGGTGGGACAGAGAAAGACTCATTACACAGTAGGTCAACAATCAGAGAGGATATCTGACTAGTCAATATCAAATGTGATTTCACGTATACTAAGTTTTATTGGAAAGCTACCAAGATGAGACTTGGTAGCCGGGTAGAGTCAACTATATGGCAGGAACTTCATTTTCTATTACAGAAAAACCTTTCTTCTATTGACATATGGTGTGGTTTTAATCTAATTAGCACAACAGTGGGTGTGATACAAAGCACAGAGTGGAGCAGAACAATTCTGCACTGTGCTATGTCGAGCAAACCAAAGATAGAAACACGTCTGATTTGTATGCACATCAGCTCTCTTACCCCAAGGAATAAAAACATATTTAAGACTTGGAAATTTCCTACATGTGACTAAGTCATGTTAAGACTTAGTCTTAACATGCAGTAAGGGGAGGTATCTTTTCAAGATACAAAGTGTGCTAGCTTACGCAACTCTGAGAGTTTAAGAACTCTGCATGCCAATGTGCTTTCTGTCTCTTTATCTGATAACCTACTTGCAGGCTGCATTTAAAACTGGACATAAAAACACCATACATAATTATTGAAAAAAAAAATGGTCCACAGGAATTTGTTCTGTCCAAAGTAACCAAGTGGTAAAACATACGCTCCACTTTTCTGTATTAAAAAAAAAGGCAAGAAAACTCAAAATTCTCTGAGGCAGGAAACAAGTTGTGATTTCTGCCCATGTCAAAGACTCATACACAGGAAGATAAAAAACGATGTATGAGGAAGGAAACATAAAGACAACCAATGGCCATGAAGATGCAAGTGAGCCTGGCTTTGATCTGAAAGGCTAATGTTGGAAGCTAATACACACACACACACACACACACACACACACACACACACACACACACACACGGAAGCAGAGTCCCAGGATGAATGAGTAGCTTATCAAAGGTCCTGTAGACAGCATGTAACAACGGTTTCAAGATAGGTAACCTGACTTGAAGGTGACTGCTCTCAATTTCCACTTAATATTATTTCTCATTTTAAGTAGAGCTGCTGGGGGGAAGGTACAAGGAATAGATCAAAGACCATAAAGTAGATTCACAAAATGATATGTAAAATTTATACAGATTGTAGTAGATTAGGCCAGATAACATTGCCATGATTGTAGATTCAAATAAAAAGTATGCTGACATTTTCTAATCAACATATAAAATAAAACAATATGATATTATTTGAAAGTCTGTGCTGAGCATGCCAAGTGTTGGACACTACAAACAGATAATTCAAAGTGGAATAGGATGGTCCCTGTTTACAAAAAAAAATGCCCTACATAGGGCAAATCAATTCATAATAAGAATTATGATACAAAAATGGGATGCTTGCAGTAACATAAGTAGGTGGATCAATAGTCTTCAACCTATCTGAACAACCAAATCATTTTGTAATTTTATAAAAATGGAATAATTTTTTAACTGGCACTTCCCCCCCATCAACTTTCTAAGATGGATTTTAAAAATGAGATACATTATAGTCTGAAAATCAATGTGTTAGAAATGATAGCAGTATCTGCAATACCACAGCACTACACTTACATACCTTCCAGGGAATTAATATCCAGAAATCAAAAGTTAGTGGACTGTGGGGCATCCTGACTTTTGTAAGGTACTAGGTTGTCCTGAGAAACTTACGAAAGCTATGGTGTCTACTGTGGGAAGATTCCCACATGCTCCTGAAGGAGGAGGTCTATGCAGCCAGGAAAAAGGGTGGGGGTTGCTGAGAAAATGAGTCCACTTTAACGTAATAAGTGTAATATATATAAAAAGCAAGGTTTGAGCAATACATTACTGGCTAAGGCTGACTCGTGATCTTAGGATGGGAAGCACATAGCATCTTCTAATCGCCGACGACAGGAAGGAAGAGTGTTCCCGGCAGCATGTGAAATGGTCCACCACAGAGCATTTGGAGTGAGGTGGCTGAAGTCCAGGCAGAGACAGAACTTATGGTCAGAGAAAAGGGTTTTACTACCTTAGAATGAGCCTCTGAGATTCTAGCAATGCTCTCCTGTAAGTATCAGGAGGAAAACCGGCCAAAAACAGGGTGGAAAGAGATAGCAAAAGGAGAAACATATATTTAAAATGCTATGCTTTAAGGAAAGGCTGTAGATAATGTATCAAATTTTGACTATGAAAGTATCATCATGTTGCTTAAAGCTACCTAAAGAGAAAGCTTTTAATAGTAATTATTAAAATGTATGCACTTGTACTCTACATTCCAACTTGGACGCTTAAAGTTAGTATTTGGCTAAGTGTTTGGGAGAGTCACAATGCCACTTCTGTCTCAAATATTTATTTGCTTTTCTATTTTAAAACCTGACACACACATTAGCCCACCCTAGTCTAAGAGCCAGTTTTGACTGTAATGTATTTCTAATGTTTTCAAATTGTTTTTTAGTTAGGGTACAAAATAATGAGTTTTGTTATGACATTTCCATAACATAGATCATTGTGCTTTGATCATAGTTGGTCCCCATAATTCCCTCTTCTCTCCATTTCTCCTGCTCACTGGCCCCCTTCCTCCCCAAATACTTTGCCTTTTGCTTTCATGTCACATGATTATGCAACTAAATCAGTGTTCCACGTATGAGAGACTTTATGTGATACTAATATACTAGGCATTAGATGGACCTCCTGGCCCTGGCAGACAGACTGGATGCAGGGGTTGGGCGGGGGGGGGGTGGGGGGGGGGGAGTGGCTAAGAAATAAAGGTGGCGAATTTTCAAGATGGCTGGCTTCTTCCTCACCTTCCTGACGTGAGACAAAAGTCTGAAAGCTTAAAATGAAGGCCTTGTTGGCTTTTGTATCCCAACAGCAGGCCCCATACTGATGGACTGGCTCAATACGATCACAGCCAGATCAGGACATATTACCCAACAGCTCTGGGCTAATCAACAACCTAAAGTCAAGGGAGAAAATTTCTTCATGGACTTTAAAACTCCAGGCCCCAAGAAGAAACTGGATTTTTCAGCTTTCCAAGTGCCCCCTCTGTTTTGCAGAGGGTCTTTTTCTGCTGCACGTGTGCGTTTCCCCCAGTCCTCCAATAAATATCTTTCTTCAGCTGCTGATTCCGTTTGTGGTGACTGAGACCTCTCCACGGCCACCTGCCACACTCTAGATTTTTCCTGCCCTTTAATTGTTTAACTGGCAGAGAAAATGAATCTGATCAAGGCCCCGAGACTGCATCAATGCTAGTTTATCTTTCATCCATTATTCTCTGGTTCCAACAGTCTTCAGACCATGTTACGTTTATTTATTTTTTACTTTTTTGGTTTTTTTGAGACAGGGTTTCTCTGTGTAGCTTTGCGCCTTTCCTGGAACTCACTTGGTAGCCCAGGCTGGCCTCGAACTCACAGAGATCTGCCTGGCTCTGCCTCCCAAGTGCTGGGATTAAAGGCGTGCGCCACCACCGCCCGGCACGTTTATTTTTTAAGCTTTATTTTTCATGCTTTCTCTCCTTCCCTTTGTCTCCCGTCACTGGGACCAAGAATGACATCAGCAGCAGCAGCAGCAGCAGCAGCCGCCGCCGCCTCTCTGATCCTTCTACTATCTTTTCTCACAGCATTCTTTAGTCTGCACATGCTTTAGGGACAGTCATTCCACTGACTTCATTAATCATGAATGAATGAAATTAGCGCTATGGTACAGTTTTCAAATAAAGCAATGCAGAACGCACCAATGACATGTTGCCATGGGCTTGCCATGTAAAGGTCATATGATATTAGTTGGTGCTAGCTTTCTAAGCAACTACTCCAAACACATGTTACCACCTGTGTCTACAGCTACATAGTTGATATGCATAATTGATATGTTTCACATAAGCCTATCGAGCCACTAGGCCTATTTATAAATGTAGCTTATTAATATGTCCATTTGGAGGCTCTTGATATGCACTTTAAAGTTTTATTTTGACATACCTCTGTGGGCGTCTGTTGAGCCTTTTTTTCAGATTTTGGCAAATCTTTACTTCCTCTTCTTTTTAAGGATAGCTGAAACAAAACAAGAACATGATTATTTGGCAAACTAATAGCTTTCAACTCAGTTGTTTCTAAGTGTCCTCATCCCATATGATGAAACAGAGACATATAAAAAAAGTTCCTAAGGACGGTAGAATTCCTGAGACAGACGGATTTAATTTTCCTGGAAACAGAGATGCAAATCACAGCAGAATGTAGCTGGTAAATAGCCATTTACTGTGAAAGGTAGAAAACCAACTCAGACAAAATACAGATCCGTGGCTCATCATGCTAGAGAGCTCACATGCAGGCAAGGGCCTGTTAGCATTCTTCATTACTAAGAGAAAAAGAAGACGAGACTAAGTTGTTTCCATTGTTGGCTGGGTTGCGACAAGCTCACCAAGACATCATCGGTGGACTCGTGTAGGATTTACAGAACTCCGTCCTCTCACCCCACACCCCTTCAAACAAATAGCCCATGTGATGAAATGGGAAGTGGAAAGTGGGAAGTCAGATGAGAAGAGTTCTCCAACTCAAGGAGTAGGTGGCCTGAGAGCCTCAGGAATGTGGGCTTTTCCAAGAGAAGCTTGGAGTTTGGATCATTATTTAAAGTCTCCCATATTTGATGAACTGATCAGAATTAAAATTCAAGCAAACACTAATTCACAGAATATTAACAAGTGCACGTGCCATGGACCAGCACTCTATAATCACTGACGCTCACTTCCATTTCTCACTCTAATATAATCAGAATGAACCATGTAAGTACTAACTACCCATGTGTGATTATCTATCCTATGCCACTAGGTATTGAGCTACAGAATCAAAGTGCAACTAGATACCACACATACCACCAGAGGCTGAAATTAGATAAGGGAGGGAGGAAGGCAGTAATTACAGTGCATGGTAGGAAATGCAATGTTTTGGGCTCTAGGAAGCAAGGATATTTTTCTTAGTGCAGCATCACCTCCGTGACAAAAATGCCTGCCACTTGGCAGAGGGTAGAAAATATTCACTGAACAAACGAGTAAACATAAAAATACAAAGGTCTAAAGCCAATGAGAAGAATAGGAATACAGTGATACAGTAGAAGCAACTCAAAACAGGAAGCCTCGTGTGAATACAAAGAGCTGAAAATTAAATCCTTCATATGTCAACTTCTCATATACTATCCAGGGTTAAAGGAAGGTGTCTGCACAGATGGTGGGGAAATGTATGGCTGTAACTGATTTTTTTTGTTGTTGTTGTTGTTGTTTTTTTTTTTTTTAGTTTTTTGAGACAGGGTTTCACTGTATAGCTTTGCGCCTTTCCAGGATGATCTCACTCTGTAGACCAGGCTGGCCTCAAACTCACAAAAATCCACGTGGCTGCCTCCCGAGTGCTGGGATTAAAGGCATGCGCCAACACTGCCCGGCAGTTGTAACTGTTTTTATTCAGGATGAGATTTTTATTCAGAATGAGATTCCAACTACACAGGTCAACCAGTAGTGCATGTTGATATTCACCTGTAATTCTTTAGAGCAGTGGTTCTCAACCATCCTAATGCTGTAACCATTTAATACAATTGATCACATTGTGGTGACCCCTCAAACCAGAAAATTATTTCGTTGCAACTGCATAACTCTAAATTTGCTACTCTTGTGAATCATAATGTAAATACCTGATATACGACCCTGTGAGAGTCGCGACCCACAGGTTGAGAACCAGTGTTCTGGAGCCCTACATTAGGTTATGTGATGATACTTTACTCCCAAAAGACTACAACTCCCAGCTTCCCTTGCAGCTAGCCAAGGCAACTCTGGAAGGGGAGGGCTACTGTAGGAAACATGCTGTAGACCTTCCTGTCCCTTCAAAGGATTATAGCTATCTTTTTTTCCTCAGGGATTCTTAACCACCCATGGGGGTGAAATTAAGCTACTTTGCCTTATCTGCCAGTGAACACAGTCCTACCTGTCTAAAGTCAGATACTGCTCTTTCTCTGCCTTCCATCTCTTTTAAGCCACCTCAGAGATCTAACTTATGATGCCAAAACCCTGGATGAGAAGTCTGAGGCCACTAGCTGCTCACGCCCTCCAATGGACAAACCTCCCTGGCTCTCCTAGGTTTGCCAGCCCTAGGCCCGAGAAAGCCTGAGAAGGCCACCTGTTCCTCTCAGGCAACCATTTCATTTCACTCTCCATCTCCGCCCTTCTCTCCTCTCTCTTTCCTGGACACAGTCTGACCTAGCTGGGAGGCTAAGCACCATTCCACGAGAACATGCATGCAACCTACCCCAAAATGCCAGAAAAAAGTAACTCATAGGATCAAACTCAGAGGTGCTCTGGTTAGGTCTGGGGGTTCATGGGAGCCCGCCTCTGTCTAGACTTGATTCGCTCAGCCAAAGGCACCGGGGACTTTCCATTAGCTGTGTGAAAATTTGGCAGAGACTCTCAGAAATTTTCCGTTGGCCTGCCCCTCCACCAGTGGAACACCCTTAAACCTTTCCTTCAGTGCAGTTTCTCGAACCAGGAATCATAGGCTCTGAGGGGACACCCAACCTACGTTCCAGGCACATTTGGCCAATATAAAACATGGGGGACACACTGAACAGCAGGATATTGACCTCTGCTTTTACCATGGCCCTATACCCACTGTAGGGTTCAAATTATCTGCTCTAAAAGACTCTCCTGGCTTGTTTGCTGGCTAAAAGGAGCTGCAATTGCGAGAACTGAAACCCTCTTTGGCCTTTCAATGCAAATCTGGCTTCAGTATACGCTGGACGATCACTGTCGCTGCCCAGAATTTGGAACTTTTGATCTTCATTTCTAAACTCATTTAAGATGACTCCATAAAACGAAATGCTAAGAGCGGTCCGAGGCCCCTTCACCCGCAAAACTCCCGGTTCACGTTAATCTTTCTCATCTCTGATAGCCCTGGTCTGCAACTCTGCCCAGACCGGAATGTGGGGTGCCCTCTGCCGGGCCTCTAAACGTGTGTCTTCACAGTTCCTAACTCAGAGAGGGTAGGACTCCTGCTTTCAGCCTGCCTTTGTTTCTGTCCCTCCAAGCCCTGGATGTGTTCTTTTAGTTCTCTGAATACTGACCCCTCTCCTTGGTTGTGTTTACTAAAATGTTTATGGTTATAGATAGCTTTGAAGCTTTTGCTGAAATGAAAACTTTATCCCAGGATCTAGAAAAGCATTGGGCACGTGGTCTAAAAGGCTGTAAAATTCCAAGCAGGAGGAAAGGGCAGTTTAAAATCTGTCACAAAAAGGAGTTAATAGTTAAAAGTCTATGTGTAAGTAATCTTAATTTGTTACAGCATACCATATATGTAACTTGGATTCAACTCATGAGCCACCCCACTTATCCCTCTTCTTGTCACTCAGAACCCAGAATTAAAACTTCTAGGCTGAAGGCTTCCTTGAATCAACTAACCCCTTGGTCCCATCAGCCCTCAGAAAAATACTTAGAGAAACCTCAGATCAGCTTAACATCCATTAGGACCAGCTCGATTCCTTGGTTGCTGCAGGGCTCTAAATGAAAAGGGACTAGATCTGGCTACTGCTGAGGGTGGGATTTGTGCCCTCCTCCACAAATGCTGCTGCTTCCACATCAGTGCATCCTACCTAGTTTGTGATGGGGCCCTAGAGACAGGGTACAGACAAAAATTCAACCACAGGCCTCCTAAGGATGGGCTTCTGTCTCCGTCCCACTCTGCTCCTCTCCTTGATCACTTCTTTCTTCCTTATGTTTTACCCTATCTTTTAAAATACATTAATTCCTGCACTTCACCCTATAACCAAAAAAAAAAAAAAAAAAAAGTTCCACATAAGCCCCCCCAATGGCGCTCACCCAACAACAGCTCTGTTTGTTTGTTCTGTTTGTGACCTGATACATCTGCAAAAGGCCCTTCCAGACATTGTGGATAGAGACTCTGGCTGCAAAGGACCTTCAACCTTCACCCCAGGCCAGATACAATTCTTTACATTGGTCCTCTCTTTTCTCCTGTTCCCTTCCCTTGGTGCTCTGTAGCTCCCTGTTGCTTCTACTAGCTCATGATGGTGCAGCTCTCCTGGCAAGGGGACTAGTCACTGTCACTGTGAGTCAACTCTGTGCCCACTTCCTCTCACCGACCCACTCCATCTCTCCCACCTCTCTCCTCCCTCTCCCTCCACCTTTCTGGGAAATCTCAGTTTTACTCTATAACCAAATCATCTGCTTAATGGTTACTTTTCAATAAGTCTTTCCAGAAACACAGGATGGCACTTGCATAATCCATCACAGCCAATCAAGTTAAAACTCCCCTCCAGCTAAGTGACCAGATGACCCCTCTCTTCAACAAATGCAGAACTATGCTCCTCCAACAACAACCCTCCATAGCAGGAAACAACGAAGAAAGAATCTATGCCCCCATTTTTCTGTATCTCCACTTTTCTCTCTCCTTAGAGTTTGAAATGATAGTTTCCTGCTAGAAGACTATACCTCCCAGCTTCCTTTGAGGTAAGGCAAAGCAACTCCAAAGAGAACAGGGGGAGAAAACATGGTTCAGTCATTTCTGCCCTATAATGGGTTGTAGCCATCTTTTCCCTCAGGAGTTCTCAACCACCTTCATGGTGTGAGACAATCTCAACCACCCAGGTTGGTGAAATTATGCCTCTTCACCTTGTCTGCCAATGGACATGGTCCCACATGTCTAAGGTCAGAGGCCTTCCATCCCTTTTAAGCCACCTCAGAAGTCTTCTTAGAATTGGAAGCTGTGGGTTGTGACTTAGTAGTTGGCAAGAATACCAAGAATATAGAGGACTGAGTTGGAAAATCTAGAATATTCTATATAGAAGCTATCTAAAGGAACATCTAAGTTTGTTTTCAATGAATATTTATTGAATATTTATTAATATTTTTATAAAGAACTCATTCTATAATAGCTTATGGCCCACTTCATCCTGTGCCACAGTAATAATAAAACCAATGCAATCATCATTCTTTGATGAGTTCCCAGTTTGCTTGCGATGGCCAGTTCACTGTCCAGTTCAATAATGCCCCAAGAGCATC